TGTGGGTCATATTATGCAGGCTTGATTGGTTGAATGCCTCTCTGCTCTACTATTCCGTGGTAGTGGAGTTTCCAGTATGAAATTGGATCTAGTAATTTTTAATCAATTGTTTGGCATATTCTGATATGTATGTGGATGGAACTTAAACCCATATCTTCTGACACTGGCAGTTACACTACCAGTGCACCACAAGAATCCCTTCTGACGTTGGATGTAACTATCTCTGAACAGGTTGACTAAAAATGTCATTACCTTTGGAACAAGTCGGACTTGAGCCTGGGTCTTCAGGCTCAGAGGGAGAGACAATACCACTGCACCACAAGAGCCCTTCTTGTTCATGTAGATATTTTCTAATTGGGTATATGATGAGTGAAAGGGCATGTTAATTATGTTTAATGAGAAAAATATAGTGGCGTTAACTACTGCCTCACTTAAATTCCAACTAGAAAATGTGTGAAGGCCAAAGAGGCTGGTAAAGCATAATATCCCACCACTTGCCCCGCACTCTCTTGCCACTTCCTTTGCATCCTCTCCACACTTTCCTGCTGCTCCTTTGCTGATTACCTTTTCTCTTCTGCCACTCCTTTCACTGCTTCCCTGATCCCTTCTGCCACTCCTTTGATGTCACCCCCCCCCCACCCTTGTCACTGTCCCTACTGTCTCTCTCTCTGTTCTATTTGCGGATTCTCAATGCCCCACTCCCTTTGCTGCTTCTCCATGCTCTTTCCTTCCACTCCTTTTGCTACTTCCTCTATGCTGTTGCTGCTTTTCCCCCCAGTTCTCATTGCCACTATTCCTCCTCCCCAGTATAACCAATGTTGCTTGCCCCACTCCATTTGCTACTGCTACCTCCTCCTACCCCAATCCTATTTTGCTCCCTCTGCTGCTCCCCTTCCAGCTTGTCGAGCACATGCACTAAATGGATATTGGTAAACAAGGGTGTGGGCTCCCTTTTCCTGATCTATGCTGATGTGTGAATGTGGAAATTTGACAGCAGTGAGGTGGGTTCAATGAGAAGGAAAGTTTGGTGCAGAAATGAGAGGCAATAAAGTGAAGTAGAAATGTTGGGAATGAAGATCAGGCCAAAGAATATTGTGGGTTTTGAATCTCTCATTTCATCTATTTCTGCCTTTTCTCTGGTTTTTTTTTCTCGCTATTTCTCATTTTTTCCCTTTCAGATGATGCCAGCACATTGCAACATGTGATGGGAAGGATGCTATCAATAACTATTTGGATGTCACATTTTCTGAATATGAGTGTGTGGGAAAAATTAAACTGCAAAGCCTCGGTCTCCCCCTCTAAGACAGTGAATCACTGTTCACCTAGTTTTTCTTCGTTTTTGTTCCCTTTCCAAGGCTTGGGTACTATGCCTTTAACAGTAGGATTTACAGGAAGTATATCAAAAACATAATTCACACCTCCAGTGCAAACATTTTCCTTCGGCAAATCCAATTCTAAAATGCCCACACTTGCATTTTACTTGTAATATGTTTTTTTCCTATTACCATCAGGTCTAATTGGTAGAAGAAATGAGACTGATTCAAAATGCACAATATTCTTTGGCCTGATCTTCTAATTGACATTGGAGTAGGAGCTTCATGATGTGCGTCACCAGGTGGTGCTGATAGAGTTTGATTCCTGAGGCACAGTTTCCTGTCAATGCTAAAGTCTTTAATGTTTTTATGGGGGGCCTCCTGTGGCACAGTGGTAGAGTCCCTACCCCTGTACCTTGAGGACTGGTTTCAGGTCCCACTGGCTCCAGAGTTGTGTAATAACATCTTTGATGGTTGGTTAGAAAAATAAGTTAATGTTCCTTTTTCTAACGTGCCCCTTTGTCTATATGGGTTTCTTTGCCTATCCACTTTCATCAGGCCCTGCCTGGCCTAACCAATTTTTTATCTTCCCAGGGAGAGAGGCAAAAATCAGGTAACACTGCACAGATTAGCCTAACATCTAATGTTGGAAAAATTTTAGAATTGCTTATTAAAGAAGAACGTATGGAATATCAAAATCTAATCAAGTAGAGTCAGCATGGCTTCGTGAAAGGGAAATCGTATCTGACTAATTTATTAGAATTTTCAACTAGAGTGGATAAAAGGGAACCAGTAAAAGTGTTGTATTTGGACTTACAAAAGGGGTTTGACAGGGTACCTCACAAGATAAGTTACAAAATAAGAGCCCACAGTGTTGTAGGTAGTATATTAGCATGGATAGACAATTAGCTAATCGGAAAGAAACAGTGAATAGGGATAAGGGGCTCTTTCAGGTTGGCAACCCGTAATCAGTGGTGATCCACAGGGATCAGTGCTATGTTAATAACTTGAAGGGAGGAAGCAAATGTACTGTAGCCAAATCTGCAGACAACACAATAGGTGGAAAGCCGGGTTGCAAGATGGATACAGTTTATACAGAGATATTGATAGTTAAATACATGGGCAAAAAGTTGGCAAATGGAGTATAATATGGGAAAATGTGAAGCTGTTCATTTTGAAGGGAGAACAAAAGAACAAAGTGTCACTTCAATAGAGAAAATTTGCAGAAAGCTGCAGCACAAAGGGTCGAGATAGTATTTGTGTCTGAAACAAAGCTAGCATGCAAGTGCAGCAGGTAATCAGGAAGACTAATGGAATGTTAGCCCTCTTATTTTAAGGAGGTAGGAGTATAATAGTAGGGAAGTCTAACTAAAACTGTACAAAGTGTTGATGAGACCACATCTGGAGTACTGTCAGCAGTTTTGGTCCCCTTATTTAAGAAAATATATTATTTCATTGGAGGCAGTTCAGAGAAACTTCACCAGGATGATTCTTGGAATCAAGGGACTATCTTGTGAGCAAAGGCTAAACAACCATTCATTGGAATCTACTCACAGGAATTTAGAAGAATGAGAGGTGATCTCATTGAAACCGATAGGATTCTTAAGGGAGCTGACAGGGTAAATGCTGAGGATATGTTTCCCCTCATGGGACAATTTAGGACCAAAGGGCATAGCCTCAGAATTAAGGGCACCAATTTAAACTAAGATGAGGAATTTCTTCTCGGAGGCTTGGGTGTTTTTGGAACTCCTTGCCATAGTGAGCTATGGGGCAGAGTCCTTATGTATATTTAAGGCTAAGGTAGGGAGATAAATAGTTGATCAGTAGGGAAATCAAGGGTTCTGGGGAAAGGGAGGAAAGTGGAAGTGAAAAATATTGAATCAGTCATGATCCTCTCTGCCTCCCAAACTTGATGAATAGTCAGTTCTTTCAATTTCTTTATATTGAGTCCTTGTTCTAAGTTTATAAGTTTAGATCTATACTCTTACCTCCACAAAAGACTCAATTATTCAACACACATCCACTGTTATCTCAAGCCTATGTTCTGATCACTACCTACCTTTTGAACAGTTTACTTCCTCCTGCTCATTGACACAAAGAAATCTAGTCCCACCTACCAATCAAATTTCACTTGCCTTAATTTACACTCTACTGACTATTCATCCCCAACACTCCAAATGACCTTTTACTCGGAAACACTCTCCAATACGCTAACTATTCCCACTGCAATTACTCCTTTTCTTTCTTCTCAATTTTGATCGTCTTAATGTTAGGTTTTTGAGAATGTTTTAAACATCTATCCAGTAAGGGAAAAATATTTCATTAAATTTTGAATTTTAAAGCATGTATTCAGACAAACTGTTTTAAAAATATGTGGCAATAGAACATTAAAGTAATAATGAGCTAGCTTTGGTTCCATGTAATCAACTTCTCAAAAAAATCTTAGCAATTCCCGTGGAAGTACTGAAGCATTACGTTGTATGTGCGAAAGAACCATCTGTCAGAGGATTGTTACAAGTACTCTTCCACAGATCCATGAGTACCTGCGAGTCAACTCCTGTATAAGTAATTCACTTCTCTTAATTTAGAAGCCACTTAACTTAAAAAGATATCTATAGTTGCCGCCTTGAGCAGTACTCCTATAAAAGATGACTTGCTCCCTATCCAGTTTGATGGATTCCCTCTAAGCAGTGCCACCATGTGGCTATGCAGCTGCTGGCAAGCCCTGTGGATGTCTTCTGCTTCCAGAATCAACAGATCGTGGAGGTGCTCACAGAAGGAAGAAGAATTAGAGGGTATATTGGTTGTGAGGAGACTGACAAGTCCACTACACAATGAACTGACTCTGCACATATAGGGTAGATGGTGATGATAGGATCAAGCAACTGAGATGTTTGGAGATTTGTAGAGGCTCTTCAACTCCTCAATTTTGCATCTGAGTATTTTCAACAAAGTTTCTCTATGTTAAGTACCTTTCTGAATTGAGTCGTCTTCATTCTGCACAGTCACAAACTAGGAACTCCTATGAGTCAGTGGGGATGTTTGATCTCTTCAGGATGCTTTGAGGACATCCCTAAAGCGATTCCGCTGTCCTCCTGGGAGTGTTCTAAATGGAGTTCCATGCAGGATGGTTGCTTCAGCTAGTCTTATGTCAGGTATGCAAATGACATGTCCCACCCAGCAATACTGGTTGAGCGTGTTTTGCATCTTAATACCGGGCACGTTGGCTTAGAGGTGGATGCTGCTGGTGGCCGCCCTACTTGCCACTATATACAGTGAACACGACTTAATAACAATTATTTTCTAACCTCCCAGTCTTGCCCTACTCTATCAAAAACTTTTTATTGCTACTTGGTACTCTTAATACCACTCCCTTTATCCAATCCCACCATTAAATCGTCCTGGCAACAAAAGCAGATTCTGAAATAAAAATAGGCAGTGCTGGACTGAGAGATTAAAATAATGGAAGGTCACATTAATTAACTGTGAAAACTGTTACTCATATGGTTTGCTACAAAGTAAAATATTCATTTTTAATGATCAGCTGCTCGAATTGATATGTAGTTCAAGTTGGCTACTGAACCATGAAATGATTAGAAATCTTTCTGGTAACGCTCAAATTCTTTGATAAGATTTTCATCAAGTGAATAATAACTGTTCTTTTTCTTCCCTCATCTTGCAAACATTAGGCAAATACAGAGAAACCTTCACTAAGCAAAGCTGAGCAGTCTGGCAGAAATGCTCTTCTGTCAGATATATGCAAGCCCAAAAAGTTGAAGAAGGCTGTTACCAATGATAGGAGTGCACCAGTCGTTAACGGTAAGTTTAAAGAATTAGTCAAGTAAGCTTTTATTAATTTGACTGAAATTAAAGGTCCTGATGCTTTGCATTAAAGAATATCACACTGCTCCATTGGCTATATCATTCAAGGTCCTATATTAATTTACCTGCAATATTCAATCAGTTTACACTTTGTTAAAGTGCTTTCCCCTTTACAGTTTGCTCTTTGCGCTATTTAAAACTCTAGAATTTTGTTTTTGCAATTTTTAACCTAGCCATCAGGATACAGAAAAGCATATTTGTTGTTCAATGAACAAAATTACTTACTGCCAGGATTGCTTTGAGGAAAGGAAAGGACCCATCAAACTTGCATAAAGATATGTATTTTCCTCTGGAACCGTAATGGAATTCTGGTATTTTGACATGAGAAGTTTATTTGAGAATAAATTTTCCAACTTTAATGTTAAGAAATTTAAAAATCTCTCAAACCCCATCGCTTCTGTAGCAAATGCTTCTATCAGCTCTCTTGGTGAATGAGACTCCATGCTAGAAACTACACCCTCTATAATATACAAATTACTATTTTATTGGAATACTCATCAGTCCTCTGCAAATAATATCAATTGTATTTCTTTCTAAACAGTTCCCAAAGGTCCTGGAGGAGTTGGTGGCGGTGGCGGTGGGAGTAGTGGCGGTGGGAGTAGTGGCGGTGGCAGCGGCGGCGGTGGTGGTGGTGGTGGAGGAGTGGGTGGTGGACCTGCAGGTTTAGGTGGATTATTTGCAGGTGGAATGCCAAAGCTGAGATCTGCAGGAAGCCGAGAGAGTTCTGGTAAATAACAGTTAATTAATGTAAACTCGTAATTTTCAATTTTTTTGAAAAAATTATTTGTTTATTAGTTTCTTAAATGGAAATGCTCATCTACTTATGTTAACCGATGCAGTTGAAAATTACTATATATTTGTACTTCTATCTTTGTGTTTATTGCATTGTGGCATTTGCAAGAATTTATAGATATCTGGCTTATAAGTTTTTAGTTTGCAAGGAAATATGGATGTGTTGTAAAGTCAAAGTTATTTCAAAGGAGAGTATGTATTAAAATGTTTTATACTGACTTCCGAGGTGGAAGAAACAGGAGGTCACAAGTCCCTAGCAGTGACTCCTCTAAGGTTCCATGCTCTTCAGAATGACCCAATAAAATGATAATGTGGACATACCTTTTTTAAACTTCAAAGATATACTTTATTCATAAAAAAATCTTTACAAACATGCATACATAGTCACTAGAGCGGTTCAGATCTGTACAGTATTTACATATGGAGCTCAATCACATACCACTGCAACCTTCTCCAGACTTCCTTTGCAAAGGCACATTCCAGAAGGAGATGTGTTATGGTCTATACCCCTCTGAAGCTGTTTCGAGGGCAGCGTGCGGTGGTACAGAGTGTCTGAGCATACGTGAAGGATCTCGCAGGCAGTGCCCTTCTCACCACCAGCCAAGTGACATCTTGGTACTTGTTGGAAAGTTCTGGTGAAGAGGCATTTTGCCAAATGACTTTGACAGTCTGCTCAGGGAACAACCTGACAGCATCCACTCTCTCCTTTCCCACAGGGTCTTGACGACACCACATGCTCATCACTTACTGATGGACTTATGATCAAAGGTGTTTTTCTTTGCCATTTTCTTCATGAAGGTCAGGTGATATGAAACGGTTCAACTACTTGGAGCGTTCCACAGTGCCGAGGGCAGTCCCATCCTTTGCAACACCAGGGACAGATAGAACCTCAGTATGGAGTGACACTTGGTATTTGTGTACTGAAGGTCTACACACAGCTTGATATCGCTGCACACAAAGGTGGCCCTCAGGATGAGGGCAGCGTTGGGTGTGTTCTTCTGTAACTCCAAAAATTGCCAAAAGACAACGGATGAGTCAGATAGATCTGAGTATACCAGAGGAAGTGCTTTATGTAGCAGTCTGCAGTTCTGACTAATGAATTTCTGCAGATCAAGACTATTTTTAAACAAAACTAAAGTTGCTGTTCTACAGTGTGTACTTGTTTACAAATAACAGTAAAAACAAAGTTTTTTTTAGTTTAATTACGTATTTACTACCATTTCCATTCACAGATTCTGGTGGAAGTCGACCACCAATTATGCCTCCAGGTGAAAGATCATCTGGTCCTAGACCATTTGCACCAAGCAACACTCCTCCACGGATACCTGGGTCATCTCCTTTTCCAAGGAGTAATAACCCTGAGCTAGCAAGAAATAAATTTCCGCCACCAAATCAACCAAAATTTTCAAGGCCAGAAATAAGTTCAAAACCTGATGCAGTTCCGCCACCTTTACCAAATGCACCAAGACCATCACCAATGCAAAACAGGGGTCCTCCACCTGCATTAGAAAATCGACCGCCCATCAGGGGACCTTCTCTACCAAATCGCAATCAAATGTCTTCTCGTCCGTTCTCTCCAGCTGTTCCACAGAGCAGTGCAAATAGATCTTTTCCACCTCCCACACCTAACAGGGCTGTTGAGGACAAACCTTCACCACCAACACCTCCAATTCCCAGTACTAACAGACCTCCGCTGCCTCCTACTCCAGTTAGGATGACAGATGATAGGCCGCCGCCACCTCCTATGACAAATAGGCCCTCAATTAATAGGGAGGGCCCTCCACTCCCACCACCACAACATCAGAAACCACCTGTCCCTCAAACACCTAGGCCAATTCCCTCTTTCCAAGCTCCCCCACCACCACCACCTAATCGACCAGGACCACCTTCCAATCATCCGAGTTCTGCTACAGATGTTGAAATTCCAAAGCTCCCTCAACGAAATCTCTCTCTCCACGGCACTCCGTCAACATCACCAGGACCAATTCGCAGTGGTCCTCTTTCTCCCAGTGAAAGACCTCCACCTCCTGTGAGGGACCCCCCAAGCAGATCAGGTGAGTTAAAAGGAAAGTAATGAAATGAGGATCGAGTGAAGATGAAGGGATATGGAGGAATGAGGAAGAGAATACGCAGAACAGTACAGCAGTGGAAACAATGTAAAGGAGAGGAGAGACAAAAGAAAGTTAACTGATTTCTGTTTCTCTTTTTTAAATCGCATAAAATGATTGTTGAAATTTGTGGTAAATTCATATCCTTAATTTGGTCCTTTCTTCCTTTAATTTGTAAGGCAAAGAAATGCCTTGGCTTAATCAGAAATTGCTGTCCATTTTTGAAGTGACAGGAATAAGTCAATCTGCCGTAATATAGTAAACCTCAAATTACAACAAATCCAATTGGGAAATATGAATTGATAAAGGAACTTAATTACAGAAATAATCTCTTCCTTATGGCTGAGAAGTCAATACCATGGCACTAAGCTTCCTGTGTTATCTAGAAATCAGAAGGTTGTAGGTACACACCCTACTCCAATGATAATTATTTATTTCAATTTAAGGTGGGGATTTATTGCATGCATGAGTGTATTTTGTTTTATAAAGCAACAGTAGAGACTAAGCCTATGGTGTAATGCAGACTACATTGTGAATAGAGCTAAGGACACTAAATTAGGAAACTGTTTAAAACAAAGAATTGGGAGAGTGAAGCAAAGTTTTAGGACCTCTCCAATGTGACATGCGTCTAATCGAATGAAACCTCATTTGATTTGACCTAGATTTTGTTTAAATGACCAAAACTAGGAAGAAGGAGACTGACAATTTTTATTTTATAGATTTCTGACAATAAAACAATAGACCACAGTTTAAAATGCAGACTTGGATGTCATTACTAAAGTTGAACAGCTGTTTGTATTCATTTGCATTCATTTTCTAGGGGAAACTTTTTGACTTCTTGAAAATCACATTATAGGACTGTACACTAATTACTTTCTGATCTTCTTAAAACAGGACCTCTTCCTCCACCACCTCCAGTTGGTAGAAATGGTGGTAGCCAGAAAGCACCACCTGTCCCACAGCCTCCAAGCAGAATGGGTTCAGACACAAGGAGTGGCTTCAGACCCCCGCTTCCTCCTGACCGAGGAAGTCCTGTTCCCCCACCTCCCCCACCAACGTCAATGAGGAATGGCTTCCAGGAGTCCTCACAGTCAATGTGTGAAGGTAAATATTACACCAGTTATCATCCAGACGCCCGCCGCCCCCACCCCAACCTCAGGATGTTTTCAGAATGCATACACAAAAATGTTGAGAAATAACACCTTGATTGAAGTGTAAAGTTTACAATGGTTAATTAGTGACAATATTCTGACAGCTGTGTTTGAGGAAAATTCAATTGATTTAATTTGTCTCTTTTATGTTCCAACCTTCACTTCATATGAATCATTTTCCCTGATGGCAACTAGGTATAGAGAACTTGTTGTACAGAGTGTTGTAGCCAAAGCCCAGACCTTAACTCTCTGAAGCAACAGCTCCATACAGCTGAGCTGGAAATGTTTCATAAAGTGCAGCATCAATTAATGGGTGCAATCTGAATCGGGTTTGTGGAGGGGTTTGTACTAGACTAGGAGAGGCTGAGGTAGGGTTCTGTACCAGATTGGTGACAGGTATGGGAGTCTGTACCAAGCTAGGATGAGGGTGGGGACCTATTCTGGGTTAGCCAATTTTCTGAATGTGCGAAGCTGTCTATTTCGGAGTGGGAACCCAACCTGGAATTGTTATGGGAACAACAAGGGGTCCTTCTCTTGTTTTTGGTAATTGGCTACCGCATTTCACGCAGTGAAACTCCTGGAATGTGTTGATTCCTGGCTGCAGCATTGTTCCACTGAATTGCTCAAGTTCAGTCAGTTCTGTCGCAACAAAAAAAAACTTCTGGAGTTGAGACTAGTGGATAAGTTGCTACCCTTGTGGTATGGATGGATGGTGAGACAACATTAAATGAGAAACGATATAATCGACTTGTAGAAAACTAATTTGCAAAATGCTAATTTAGATAAGAGCTTTTTATGCCTAACTGATTTCTGTTTTATTGTATCAAATAGCTGGAATATGAAAGGAATCTGATCTGAATTAATTATTGTAAATTTGGAATTGTATTTGGAATCCAAATTGAAGAGAAAATGTCAAGGAATTAAGGAACGGCACAGTGGTTAGCACTACTGCCTCACAGCGCCAGGGGACCTTGGTAGAATTCCAGCCTCGGGCTACTGTCTGTGTGAAGGTTGCACGTTCTCCCTGTGTCTGCGTGGGCTTCCTCTGGGTGCTCCAGTTTCCTTCCACAGTCCAAAAATGTGCAGATTAGGTGGATTAGCCATGGGAAATGTAGAGTTACAGGGATAGGGTGTGGGGGAGTGGTTCTGGGTGGGTATGTTCTTTAGAGGGTTGGTGTGGACTCGGTGGGCTGAATGGCCTGCTTCCACACTGTACGGATTCTGTGATTCTAAGAAGATAATATTCTAAACTCTTAATGTTAACTTCTTTGAATGACAATCATCTTGTCTTCATTGATGCTCAGAAACTTTTCAAATAGAACCTTAGCTCATGGTGTTGGCACCATGATCCCTGTTGAAGCTTCTCCCCCTCTGATAATTTGACAAAATTCTGTTCTGTTATTGATGGGGACATTGGCCTGGATTGCATTTACTAACTGTATGAAAAGCTGAAATGCTGAGTTCACTTTCATTTTATACAAATGCACAAGGCATGTCCTGGTGGTAATAGAATGTAAACCAATGAAAAATTAATGTATTTACTCATTTGAGCGAAAGTCGAATTCCAATGAAGCGGCCAAGAAGTATTTGAACTTCATTACAGATCTTAAAATGTGCTATAAGTTTCTGGTTTATCTCACTGCAGTGATTTGCCACTTTTGTATGTGATTCATTGTCACAAAAAGAAATTAGTATATTTTGTCTTCATCCTTAATTTTCAGTCCATTTTGTCTCCAGCCACAGTCATACCTGAAGATGTTTTGAAATGTTCCCTTGCAAATGTAGGTATACTGATATCCATGCATTGTAAGATTTATAATTATTTTCTTTTGACTACAGATGAGTGGGAAGGCCGATTTTCTTTCCATTCCATCTCTGATTTTCCACCACCAGAACCGTATGTAAACTTCCCAAAAACTTATCCTAGTAAACAGAACAAGGCAGAGAGCAGAGGTGAGTAGAAGAGCAATTTGTCAAACCTCCATTATGAAGTTTGAAACATGAAAAGCTGAAAACTTTCATTCCTTCATTTTAAAAACAATTCTATAATCCTTTAATGTGATTGCTATTAGCCAAGAATAGCACAGCAAGGCTCCACTTCAGTTATCGGGATTTGTAGAACAATTCAAAAGATATCCAATCATTTGAAATTGTGTTTATCCAATTAATAGCTGAGCCCTACTTCCTGGCTCGATTTTCTGAAGACAGAATAGACCCACTTGTGACTGCTATCAGGGAAAGTAACATGCAGACATTTAGTCATACATAGTTTAATGGCCATGTGAGTGACATACTAGGAAATAAGTTGTGTTTCTGAAACCGGAACCCATTTTTAGAAAAAGAGGAGTGAACATTGGTGAAAGTAAAAGAGAGAACAGTGCAAATACATTCAATGTAAAAGTAGCTACGAATTTAAATGTTGCTTCAGTTACAGCAAAACGTGTTTTTCAAAAATAGTTGTGTATTTTGCTGAGGGAGAAAAATAGTATAAGGGGAATTCTCTTAAAAGGAATTCAAGGTTACAATATTCATGCTCTCATCTTTGAGATGGGAAGAAGAACTTTTTTTGTTAGTTATAGAAAACAGTTCTATCTAAATCCATAATGACAACCATCTTTCTGGAATTTTGCAACAATTAATATTTTGATTGTTCTTAGCATCAAAATTATTTTCTAAACAAATTATAAAATGCTATTTAACTGGAAAAGTTACACTTTATAATTCTTGAGACGGTGCATTAATTAAAGTCTTTTTCCTATAACAGATTCAGGTAGGAGAGAGCGAGGTGCTCCACCCCTTCCACCAATCCCACCTATACCAAGGTGAAAACAGATCTGGGTATTGAAAACTCGCGAAAAGTCATTCTACTCTTGGACCATCTTGCATGCTTTAACTGCAGACTTGCTACAGGGATGTTGAATTTGCCTCTCAGCTCCAGTCATTTTCAGCTGTAGGAATGCTGGCTGTCTGGCATTTGTTTATCTGATGCTTACAGCATCTAGAAATTAAAAAGAAAAAAATTCTCCTTTGCATCTTTTGACTGCTTCAATGTAATACGTGCTAACTTGTTTACAATATTATGGACCTGAAAAAAACATGTATTTTGCAAGAATATTTCTTTAATCTATTTTATACAGTCGCAATATCATTTGGGTGCTCAGTTGGGATGAGTTTGAATAAAAACAGGCACTTTGGCTTTAATTAAATATTCTTAGTCATGTTATTAAATTGAGTTAAATAAAGAGCAGATTTGCATTTTCCAATCTACCTGTTGTAAGTTATAAACCAAAAAGTCCTGAAAAGAAGAAAGAAGCTGCTAATGTACTGTTGCTTGTTGAATTCATTAACTTTAGTAGTTTCTGTTTGCATAGTGTACATGCTCAACAATGACAGATAACAGATCACAAGTAGCTATGTGAAGCTACACTTATGGTCTGATTTGAGGTTATCATTTAAGAAAATTCAGTTAATAAAACTTACACACAATCCCATTTTTAAAAAATTACTATAGTTTAAATTGTTAAAAAGTGCTGTATTTACTTTATAAATCATTACTTATCAATATATTTTATATTATTGTTTAACTCTTAAGTAATTTGATAAGATATATAAGCATTACAAAAATGGAAATAACAAAATACTTTGGAAAGGAAAATTGGATTGTGCGTAGCTCTGGCTGTCCATTCACAATTGCCATTTTTAATAACTGCGTTCAACCAACTTAACTTCCATAATATTTGTAGTAAGTTTCCGAGGACCTTTTGTGGTGTAGTGGTAGTGTCCCTAACTCTGAGCCAGGTGGCCTGGGTTCAAGTCCTACCTTCTCCAGAGGTGTATAATAATATATTTCAACAAGTTGTTTAGAAAATATCTAATGGGTAACAATTATGCAACTGATTTGTCTACTGTTTGATGCTGTCAGAAACAGGCATCTTCATTATCATAAAATTGCATAGAATTACACAGAATATGCAGCACAAAAATAGACCATAGACTTTGTTAGTAATCATACTGTATATGGGCCATCTCCAATTCTAGCTGACACAGCACTTTTTTCTTTCCTTCTTTTCCTCTCTCAAAACTTGTCTAGTTTTCTTTTGGAAGCATCTATTTGTCTCAGTCACTTCTTTGATAGCAATATCTATATTCTAACCTAATGTTCCCCAAAGTTTTTCCATATGACCTTATTTTAATGCCTTGGACTTTGTATGACCTCAGTGAACATTTGAGAGGTGCAAGCGATGTTGAACAGGAGAATCGAGGGTGGGGGTGGGGGCCACAACATGAGTGATAGACTTCAGCTGTTACGTGGGATTTATCTGCTAGAAAGTATTGAAATGGTAGAGTTCTTAAAAAAAAAACAAACTACCTTCACAAGCTTTCCTTTTGGAAGCAGATATCGGGACGTTGTGATCTGTTTGTTATTCCTTTGCCATTATTATAAAGGAAATGCAAGGATTTAAAGGGGCCTTGCAGTTGTTAGAGCTTCATTCAAGCTCCAATGGCACCTGCACTTTTTTTTCCAAAAAGATATTTTATGAATAAAGCATTAATACATTACAAGAAAATATCACATTTCTCAGGTAAGCATGTTATACTCTCAGCTGCCTCAATCCAAATGCAAATTTGGAACATTTACTAAATTTGACAAAAAGCTACTTACATTCCAATCCAAGCTACAAGGTCTTCTAAATTAACCAGCTGTCTGTACACCATGGCAGAAGCATGTAGACGATAGTCATTCCCTACTGCCTGGTGGCTGCTGCCCTAAGCCTTTTCGTGTGTCTGTCAACATGTTGTCCTGGACCTTAGAATGTGTTCATCTGCAACACTCTGTCAACGTCACCTCTTTGCACTGGAAGATCATCAGATTTAAGCATGGTCAAAGAGCATCTTTCACTGAGTTGTTGGTCTTCTGGGTGTAGCTGTTGTTTGTCCCAATGTGCATCTGAGGAAACAGTCCGTAAAACAGAGTGCTGCATCTCTAAGCTGCGTGGGGAAACCTCAACAAAAAACACTGCATCTCTCTCCAGATCTTTCATGTCAGCCATTGCTCCCCCACAGAGCTCATGATTAAAAAGAATTATCTACAGTTTGACTAAAACAGGGTTATCCAATCTGAGTAAAAACAAAAAGTCTCCTTATTTGTATTTATTAATAACAACCCTTCATTTATGGCCCCTTGTTTTGGAATCTCCCACAAGTGGAAACATTCTCGCTGCATCTACTTTATCCCAACTCATTTGGAATTTTACAGACCTGTCTTAGCTTACTGTGAAGAACACTTGAAGCAGTAGTGAGATTTTTGAACCAATTATATTGAATAATTATTGCCAGAATGAGAAGCAGGAAGTTTTTTTTAATTATAGAACTTACATTTAAATCATTGTACAGGAATTGAAATAGAAGATTGGATCATACAGATAGAATTAAGAAAAAGTTTCAGCTCTTCAGCTGGATATTTAACTCACCATTGTGATATTTGAATGAAACATCACTTTTTACAGGTCTGGCAAATGTTTGACTGGAAAGGTTTAATGTGGACACAATATATTCCAACTTGGAGAATTTCAAAATGGCAGAATCAGGATGAAAGATGCTTTGGATGTTTTTGGTAGAACGTCAGAAGAGAGTGACAGTCATCAACCCCAGCAGTAATCTGATGCTTGGTTGGGATCAGAACTTGCACAGAAGGGAGTTGTCTACTCTCTGCTGGACTAGGTAGTCATGCCTAACTAGTGCCTGTGAAAGTGATCATCAACCCATGTGCGAGAGAAGATATATCCAGATCTTGCTGTCAATTGCACGTGAATGCAAATGGTCATTGAATTATTTTTGATCATTTTCTTTTTGTTGACAATAACAGGAATGAGTGGGTGCATGAATTCACAACTTTGGGTAGATGATCTGTATGCATATGGCAATCTTAAGGTTTCAGTAAGCAGGAGATTTAATAAGCTAAAAGTCCATCGGTGCGCAGATGTTGTGCAACCACAAGAAGAGGTTTCACAGGTGTGTATCTGATTCCATGAGAGCTGTGTTCTTGCTTTCATACTATCATGGTTCATCAGAGATCATTTTGCTCCTGGAAGCAGATTTGAGCTCTGGCTTGTAAGTAACAAGGGATACTTGATACAAACTTGATTCATGACACCTCTGAAGAACTCAATCGCTAAAATTCAGAAGCACGACACTGAGAGTCCCAAATGGTGAGGTATGCTTATAAAGAAAGCAATTGGAGCATTGAAGATATTCTCCAGGCACTTCAGTTCTCACTGGTGAAGAATTCTAGACAGCTTCTGTTGACGTGCGGGTAAGAGAGACCACATAGGAGGTTGAAGATGGATCTGCGACAGTTGTATCCAGGGCATCCTTCTATGTGTCAGTGAGGGGTACTACTTGTGGCAGACAACTTCCATTCCAATCCTTTTCTTTTGCATTTTACGCTCTCTTCCATAAAGAAGCAGAAATGTAGAAAAACATGGCTCAAGTTATATAAGGATTGGGGTGAGTGTCAACATTCTTGGATAAATGAAAGTGGTTAAAGTCAGAGAAAGTGAAAGTTGGGTCTGCTGAAAGTCAAGTGGCTATGGAAAGCACTCAGTAAGAGAGTGAAATAGGGACGGAGACTACTTGACATGCAAACTATACGCTTCCCAAAATGGCAACGTTATTAAACTATTTGTTACATTGCATCCACAATCTGTACAAAATGATGCTGTTGCGTCTCAGCTATCGCCAAAAAAAACCAATGTTTCTGCCTTGGTGCGAATAACATATTTCTCCCTCCCGTTACCTGGGGAAAAGTAGGACCAGCATCCAGCAGGAATTCCAGTGAAGCATGATTAAATTTGGTTCAATTCTTGCTCCATATCCATTATCCATCCTGACCAACTCCAATTTCTCTTTAAATACAGCTGAAATTCTTTCATTTTTATTAGGTTCACTGTGCACTTTACAGCTACAAAGCCCAGAAGTCAAAATTAATTGGTGCATGTCTGTTACGATGACAAATTCCAACCCATGCAGTTTACATTTGGGTTTTCCCTAAGCAATTTCAGTCTTAAGATCCCAACATCAGTTTGAAGGCCACTTTCATAATGGAGACTGTAACAACATTAATAAATCTGTATCTGAATAAATGTAGAGACTTGATTTTATGCACCATATTCTATATTCTACTGCATGGATAGACGTACAGCATCTTTTACTCTCAAAATATGTGGACTGTAGTCAGTAATCGATTTTTTTTTTGTGTGTTCCCTTTGACCTTGATGCTTTTATATCAAAACAACTGCAACCTTCACGTGCTGTTTGACACAGAGATGAACTTCCAACTCGTATGTACTGTATGATCAAGGTTACCTGCTTCCATCTTCCTGCCTCCACAAATGTCTCAGCTACTAGATTAAAACCTTCCAACATCGTAAAGACCTTTATTAGGTCATGAGGGAAAATGCAAACGCTTTAGAAAGCCTTTCTAAACCCTTCCTAAAGCTTTTGCATCTTTTGTAAGGCTCAGTGCCCAAAATTGACCAAACCACACTTGCTGAGGCCTAACCAGTGATTTGTAAAGTTTGAGTATGGTCTCCCTGTTTTAATTTTCTTTTTAACCTAATAGCTTGTATCCTTTTTTGCCTCCAACATTTTAACAACTTGTCCATCCACCATTAAGCATTTTTACATACACACACCAACGTCTGTTGGCTCATTTACACTTTTCAAAATTATGTTATTTATAGAATTATATTTCCATATTAGACCAACTACATTGCATAACTTCATACTTGTCTGCATTGAATTCCATACACCATACTTCTGCCATTTCATCATCCTGTCTGTGACATTTAGAAGACTATAAACTATTCTCGTTTGTGATGGACAATTTTGCCAAGTTTTGTATCATTTCAAAATTTATGAAGTTGCTCTCTAAAACAAAGTCTAACTCAATGATAAAAATTGTAAAGAGTAAATGAACCAATGGGCTTGTAACAATCCGTATGGAGATCTGTAACCCAAAATAGAAACATAAAAGAAGGGAACAGGAATAGGCCATTTAGCCCTTCGACCCTGCTCTGCCGTTCAATATGATCACAGCTGATCATCCAACTCTGTACCCTGGTCCTGTTTTCTTCCCGTACACTTTGATACCTTTTAGCCCTATGTACTATATCTAACTCCTCATTGAAAACAAGGGTCCTGGCAT